GTGCCCTGATCAGGGGCAGGGAGGGAACCCAAAACTCAGGTATGTGCCCTTGCCTGGGAATCGAATCCGTGACCCTTCGGGTGAGTGGGCAGATGCTGTGACCACTGAGCACACTGGCCTGGGCGCTGTTGCTATTTTTAATGACATGCTTATATAGTCTAAACTGTAGATCTTTAGCTTTGTGTTCTTTTCCTCCCCGCCACCCCCACGGACTTAAAAAAAACAAAAACAAAACGACTTCATAAAACGGCAGTAATAAGATCAGAACCCAGAACCCTGAAGAACTGTTGGGTGGGTTTTTCATTCACATGACTTAGGGCTTTTAATTAGGTTCTGTTTCGTGAGTGACTTCACCGTTATCGATGGCGTTGGGCGGCGTGTGTGTGGCCCCCGGGAGCTCCCTATTTTAAATCAAGGCTCAGGGTGATAAGCCACGCCTGCTGGGCTCAGGCACGGAGACCCTCCGCCTTCCAGGTCGCAGCTCCCGGGAACTGGGCAGATGGGGCTCAGGACATCAAGGCCGTGGTTCCCGCACAGAGTCTGAGAATCTACATCCTGGAGACTGTGTGCTGTGTCTGACCAGCTGGCTGGCTGGCTGCTGGCGAACTCGTCACTGGAGAGCAGGTTAGGGAAGGGAAGGGTAGGAGTCAGTGGTGGAGAGAAAGCCTGTGCTGTCTGATAGCCGGACCTGGAGGGGAGAGAGCAATCCAAGCATCCCCTTCCCTCCCCCCAAGCGTCTCACATGACTTCTCATAACAATCCGGTCCCCTAGGGCCGTGGTCGGCAAACTGCGGCTCGCGAGCCACACGCAGCTCTTTGGCCCCTTGAGTGCGGCTCTTCCATAAAATACCACGGCCTGGGCGAGTCTGTTTTGAAGAAGTGGTGTTAGAAATAGTTTCAGTTTAAAAAATGTGGCTCTCCAAAGAAATTCCAATTGTTGTCCTGCTGGTATTTGGCTCTGTTGACGAATGAGTTTGCCGACCACTGGCCTAGGGGTTGGTGCGTGCATGGGTGATGGGTTGGCCTCCTAGAACGCGCTGATGTGGACATCTTTATTATCCCACGAGGCCCGGAGGGAAAGGCACGGGGACCTCACGCTCATAGTCCTGGCTCTTTGGAGACTTTGGAGGAAGCGGACGCAGAGACTCTTACAAGGAAAGCACAGCGTTCATTTATGTGGGTTTGGTGCTCGGAGCAGACGGAGTTAGAGCAGACCCAGCGGGGTGACCGCTGAGGGTGACTGCCCGGCTTCCGAGGCGACTGGGGATGGATGTGAAGACTCTCAGCCAAGCCGTGTCTCACCTGCCGCCCGTGATCACAGGAGACCCAGGCAGCTCCTCTCTCCCGGGACGCCCGCGGGGCCTGCTGCCACTTGCTCAGAGCACGGGGCCCGGGGCAGAGCCACACTGTGAGCCCTGTGTGCGCGGGGGATGGTTTTAAATAGAACGCGGAGCTGCTTTTCTAGGAGTAAAAGCAACAGAGCCCAGGCTGCAGGGCATGGATGGCTTCCTAAAAACACAGTCCCCGAGCGTTTGAATAACACGAGGAACAGCTTGTCAAACTGGAGTGGGATTCACATGTGGAAAATTCCGACCGGTGGGGGCGAACGCTGAGAATCTGACCATTTCGAATGGGGACAGGGTGACTTCAGGAGCCCAGCATGCTATCTGGACGGGCTCTGAGGCTGTCGCCTGTCCCGCTCACCCAGGCCCAGAGGCGGGGTCTCCGCTCGCTCCGAGCCCAGTGTTTGCAGATGGAGTTTCTGTCACATCGACGGCTCCTGTCCTTCTCTTCGCCTCCTCCCCCGGTGCTTAAGGACCAAGTGTAACTACCTCCAAGTCTCAGCTGCCTTTGCTGGATTAAAAAAAAAATGATTTTGATTTTTAAAAACGGAAAAATATACAGAAATATACAAGGGACACAACAGTAAACCCCTATGTGTCTGCTCCCCATAGTTAATATGTTTTTTTCTATTGATAAAAATAGAAATCCTCACCGAAACCGGTTTGGCTCAGTGGATAGAGCGTCGGCCTGCAGACTTAAGGCCCCAGGTTTGATTCCGGTCAAGGGCATGTACCTTGGTTGCGGGCACATTCCCCAGTAGGAGGCAGCTGATCGAGGATTCTCTCTCATCCACGTTTCTTACTCTCTATCCCTCTGTTTTCCTCTCTGTAAAAAAATCAATAAAATATATTAAAAAAAAAAAAAAAAAGAAATCCTCAAAAAAAAAAAAAAATCGGCTGGTGAAGTCTGCGTTTCCAAATGCTGTCTGTCTGTCCGTGGTTTGCAAACTTGCGTGTGTGTGGGGCCCACCTGGAGGTGGTCAGACTGCGGGCTCCAGTTCTGGACATGTTTCGGCAGCGTTTGCAGGCGGTGATGCTGCTGGCCCTGGCCCCCCAGCGCTGAGAAGTGAGTGTGAGGCCTCCTGCTTTTGGCGGGACAGTTTGTTAAAGATCGGGACTGTCCCGCCAAAAGCGGGACGTCTGATCGCCTTAGTGTGAGGACCACTGCTTGCAGGACATGAGTTTTGCTTCTCATGTCAGGTGGAGGGGCTTGTCTTGGCCATTAGGGAATCTGCACCCCAACTCCTCCCCCACCCCCAGTTCAAGCCAGCCCCTGCTGTCTGCAGGCTCCCAGGGGCTTCTGCCAGGACCCAGGGGGGTGGGAGGAGGAGGGACTAGTTGAATTCTCTTCCTGGCTGTCCACTCACCATTCACCGCACAGGGGAGGCCTTTGCACAGAGTCACACAGGTACATGCCTGGTTCTTTTCCTTCAGCCAGACATTTTTGTGGTTTGAATTCTTTCTCTTATTATGCTTTTCCTGCCCTCCCCCACTACCACATACAACACTTGAAGAGTTAAAAGCAATCTCTGCCCTTTTACCCTTATCACCCCCCCCATCCTTCCTAAAGACGGTTCTTACTGTGCCTTCTCGGCATTGGGGTGGGGGGGAGGGAACCCCAGGCCTGGGCCTCTGTCAGGGACCAGCTTCTGCAGGCTCTGCTGCCTGGGCCGCCTCCCTGGGGGGTCAGTAGATGACACCTTGGGAGGGAGGAGAAGCGGAAATCGCTCTCAGATGTTCAACCGAAGCAAGGCTGTAATGGGAAGCATGAGGAGAATGCGCACATGGAAGTGCCCGGTCCTCGCTCTCGGCCCCTCTGTTCTCCGCTGGCGGAGCTGCTTCCGCTCAGGGACGTTCCGTAAATGCCCCCGGCCCAGAAGGGACCCGGCGGTTATGCGCCAGGAAAACAACGCTGATCGCTTAGAATCCTGGGCTCCAGAAGGGCACCACGTTGGACACGGAATTCTAGAAGCCTCGTAGGGGAAGCCCCATGGGGACCGTTTCAGAACAAGCGGCTACTGCCCTCCCGCTGCCCCCAAACATGCACAGGTGCAGAGGCCAAGGTTAAGTCACTTGCCCCAAGGTCACCCAGGGAGCTGGCTGCGTCTGTCTTCCCCTCTCTCCCTCCTTCCTCCCCCCACCCTTTCGTTCTCCTCTCTCCTGTTTTTCTTCCTCTCTTTTTTAAGAAGCCTTCTCAACTTTTGGAAAGTTGCTCAGCTCAGTATTCTGACACTCGACATTGACTTCTTGTTCTTACTTACTATAACTAATAGGACTCGTACTGTAGGACAGAGGGAAGAGTGTCATCTCTCTTTCAAAGAAAATCAGTAGGCCTCAGGCCTTTTTCATCTTCCATCCTGAGCCTCTCCTGGTCCATACCCCTCACCTCCTTCACAATTGCCTGTGGACTGAACCTCGCATTGAACATTATGGGTGATGTAGTCTCATCTCTCTCAGGACCAAGAGTTTCAGTCAACGGTGCGCCGACAGCGAAAGCTTGGCGTGCATACCTGTCCTTGGACAAATACAGGAGGGACTGGAGAAGTCATGTTTGTAGGCCAACGACATGAACCTAATGGAACGTATGTCAGTAACGTGTGAACTCCCCTGGGGCCGATAAAATCTACCTACCTTACCCGAGACCAAGAGCCCTCCTGACTTTAAAACTCGGCTTGTCCACGCGCCTGATGACGCAGAGCACACACATCCTGGCACGCAGGAGGGGAGGAGGCTTTGCCAGGGCGCTGTACACCTTTTGGGTTGTTTTTCATTATAAAGTCAGGGGTGGTGTACAGCGCCCTGGCAAAGGCATAATAACCAGGGCGACTCTCCGCCTTTTACATCTTGAATTTCTCTCGTGGAAAAAACAGTGGGCTGGGCCCTGTGTCTGAGAGATTGTCTCTGAGCGCCGGTGGCTGGTGCGAGATGAGGTCTGGAGCTCTCTCTGAGGTGGCTGTGGGCTTTGGTTACTTTGCCAAGTCTGACCTGGATGCCGAAAATTTAAACATACGCCACAGGGCACCGTTGACAGAGAAGGGCAGAGCGTTTTCTTAATTGTTCCCCTGAGTTTCTGATGCATTTCTGAGAGGCGGTCAGAGTACAGTGATGAGAATGATGACTTGGCCGCTAGTTCGCTTGGATAAAAAGCCCAGCTCCTCCCTAGACTAATAATCGTGTGACCTTTGACAGCTTCATCAGTCAATGGCAGAATAAAATATCAACTAAAACGGTTGCTGGGGGATTAAAACAAACAACAACAACAACAACAACATTTTTTTGTTGATTGTAGAGAGGAAGGGATAGGGAGAGATAGAGAGAGAAACATCAATGATGAGAGAGCACCACTGATCAGCCTCCTCCGGCATGCCCCTCTCTGGGGATGGAGCCCGAAACCCAGGCACATGCCCTGATGGGGAATCGAACCCTGACCTCTTGGTTCATAGCTACGCTGGCTGGGTAGGTTTGTTGATGTGTAGTAGAACAGTGCCCGACACGTTAGAAAGATGTTAATACATATGAGCCGCCATCACTACCATCGTCATCCTGACATCTTTAAGTCGGGCTTCCCTTGATTGGTGACTGTTGATCCCTCAGAAGCATTAGCCACGTCCGTGATGCTTTCCTTCCAACGCGGTGTCTCCTGTTCTCTCTCTGCAGCCAGCTGCGTGCCCCCGTGCCAGAATGGAGGGCTGTGTCTCCGGCCTCAGCTCTGCGTGTGCAAACCGGGGACCAAGGGCAAAGCCTGCGAGATGACGGCCGCCCGGGACGCCTCGCCGCCGGGGTTTGCGGGGCAGGGTGCCGGGCCCGCGGCCTCCTGGGTCTCCCCGGAGCCAGCGGTGAAGCGCGTGTCCTTGAAGAAGGCGGGCGCCCTCCCCAGGGTCAGCCCCGTGGCCCAGATGACCTTGACCCTCAAGCCCAAGCCGTCCGTGGGACTCGCCCAGCAGAGACGTTCTCAGTGAGTGTTTGGAACGTGCCTCCGGCCCTGGGGGCATCTCCGTTACTCTCGTGGAGGAGTCGCTTCCAACCACCCTCCTTTCCCTGCCCCGCGGGCAGCAGTCCCGTGCACAGTCACGTCTGTCTCTGCTTTCCTTAGGGCTTCACATGCTAGGCTCACACGCCGCGCCTCTGAGAAACACTCAGTGCGTGCCTTTGGCCTCTGCAGGGAGACCCGGCCCTAAGCCAGGGGTCGGCAAACTCATTCGTCCACAGAGCCAGACATCAACAGGACAACGATTGACCTTTTTGTTTGAGAGCCACATTTTTTTTAAACTTAAACTATATAGATAGGTACATTGGTTTGTTTGTTTTTTAAAAAAAAATATATTTTATTGATTTTTTACAGAGAGGAAGGGAGAGAGATAGAGAGCTGGAAACGTCGATGAGAGAGAAACATCGACCAGCTGCCTCTTGCACACCCCCTACCGGGGATGTGCCCGCAACCAAGGTACATGCCCTTGACCGGAATCGAACCTGGGACCTTTCAGTCCGCAGATTGATGCTCTGCCACTGAGCCAAACCGGTTTCGGCTAGATAGGTACATTGTTATTAACTTAATGAGGGTACTCCGAAGCTGGCCTTTGCTAAAAAACTCAAGGGGCCATAGAGCCGCCGTTTGCTGACCACTGCTCTAAGCACAACAGACCAGAGCAGGAGTGGAGATGACAGGGGGCGAGGGTGGAAGGGGAATAGGAGAGAGAATTGTTTGATTAGGGTGGAGCTGTGAGTTTAAAAATCCTTTTTTTGGGGGGAAAGTGGGGCGAGGGCGAGAAGAGTGCTCTTGAGTTTGGAAATAATAATTGGCAAAGAGACACACACAGTGTGATCTGTAAAGCTACACGGAGAAGGCAGGGACTGCACTTTGCACAGAGAAGGTATCCGTTCCCACGGAAGGGGGCCTCGGGGAGAGGAGGTCCCAGCCCGGAGCAGGTGGAGGGCACCCACCAGCTGCCCCACAGGCGCGTCGTTGGGGAGTGAGCTCGTGTTCTATTTCTGGGCGCGGGGCCTGTTCTGAGCATCGGGGAGAGCTGATCCAAGCAAGACGAGGCCTGGATCCAGGCCGGGCCCCGTGGAGTGGCTCGGCTGCCTGGGACCCTGGTGCTGGTAGGTGCCTTGTAATCAGCTGCACCGCGTGGGTAACAAGATGCAAAATTGACCGCAACCATCACTTGCCCTTTGCCTGGGAATGTTAACTACAGGAAGCCCTCAGCGTAAGAGCCGGCCTGGCCCAGCAGTCATTTGTGAGCTTGGAATTCCCAGTGTGTTCTCCCCGCTGGGAACAGGCTCCAGGTGGTGGTGAGGACCCAGCCCGCCCTGAGGCTCCTGTGGATGAAATTACCCTCACTTATCCATCCCGTTTGAACAGGCCGCCGGCCTTCCCCGTGGAGCGGGGGCCTTCTGACTCGTTCTTTCTCCTTGCATTCCCTCCTCGGCCCTCTTCTTCCTGCTTTTCTTCAATTTTCTCTCATTCCTCACTGTCTCGCACTTCACTTCTGCCCTGACAAGTGGATTGGGGGAGGGGCTGGTTTGAAATCCGACCACGTGGCTGGCATTTTATTCGGAAGATATTTACATCCTGCAACTCCCAGCAAGAAGGAATCGTGGTGATACCTCATCCTTAGCAACAGTGTTTCCTAACCTATACTTAGTCACTTAGCCAGCAGGTACTGTTTCAGGTGCTTTGTATATATTATTATATATTATCAACGTATCACTCACAATGACCCTGTGTGGTAATCACTAATTAATTTCATTTACAGGTGAGGACAGTGAGGTGCAGTGTGGTGAAGTCATTTGCTGAAGGCCATAATAATAATAATAATAAATTATTATTATTATTTATAATAATAAGTGTTTGGGTTAAAATGCGGGCAGACTAGGGCTGTGAGTGGAGGCAGTGGGATCGGGCATCCATGCCCTGAAGTGAGCTTTTCCTGTGAGGGCTCCGATATTGTCGGTGCTGGGGGACACAGGGTTTCTGTCCCAGCTCCTCCGTTCTGTCCTCACAACGCAACATCAGCCACAGACGATGCCGAAACGAATGTGTGGCCGCTCCAGTAAAACTTTATTGATGGCTATGGAAAGCTGAATGTCATATAAACTTCACATGTCACCCAATATCATTCTTCTTTTGATTCCCCCCCCCCCCCTCAGCCCTTTAAAAATGCAGAAACCATTCTCAGCCTGTAGGCCGTGGGCCAGCTTTTCGGCCCCTGAGCCGTGGTGTGCTGACCCCTTCTCTGAAGGACGACGAGTCGTGCTTTCTGGTGCCAGAACACGCGTGTCACCGTGTCCTTGAAGGGATGTATCACACCGAGGCAGCTCTCCCCGGCATTGTTCTGGATCTCAAAGGCAGGGCTGCGTGGAGCTACGCCTTGGCACGCAGGAGTCCGATTACTGAGCGCGCCAGCCATTCTTTCTCCAGCGTCGTTACTTACATAAACTGTGAAGTCATTTACAAGCGACATGCTTCATCTTGAATGGCACCGTCCCCTGCTAGATGGTGACCCTCTGGGAAGTGTCTGTGTGGGTTGTTGGTGAGAACCATACATCAGATGTCAAATGAAGGAGCAAACTCTTTTCTTTTCTTTTCTTTTCTTTTCTTTTCTTTTCTTTTCTTTTCTTTTCTTTTCTTTTCTTTTCTTTTCTTTCTTTTCCTTCCTTTCCCTCCCTCCCTCCCTCCCTCCCTCCCTCCCTCCCTCCCTCCCTCCCTCCCTCCCTCCCTCCCTCCCTTCCTTCCTTCCTTCCTTCCTTTCGAGTGGTATAATTTAGACAAGAATGTGGTGAGTCCAAGAGGAGGCTGAGGTGTCAGCTCTCACATGGTGGGCGTACCTTGTTTGATTGCGCTCCCTCTTATTGCACCTTGGCGTATGGTGCCCCTCAGATATTGCGTGCTTTTTCTTTTTCTTTTTTTTTTTTTTTCTGATTGAGAGTTTGTGGTGCCTTGGTGTTGAATGAGTCTATTGGTGCCATTTTCCCAAACAGGCTCAGTGGTGGAGTGGTGGTTAGTATTTTTTAGCAATAAAGAATTTTTAAAGGAAGGCATGTACATTTTTGAGACACAGTGCTATTTATTGCATACTGAATAGGCTACCGTCCATGGCAAGCCTAACGTCTGTATGCCCCAGAGACCAGCACGTGTGTGTGAGCCACGGCATTGCATGGCACCGTCCGGGCAATCAGGCCTGCCTATGTCCCCGGTATGCCTCTGGATAACATGCTTCAGAGACTGCTTGTCTGCTGGGTGCTTTAAAATTTTATTTTTATTTTATTGATTTTGTACAGAGAGGAAGGAAGAGAGAGAGTTAGAAACATCGATGTGAGAGAGTCATCGATCAGCTGCCTCTTGCATACCCCCTACTGGGGATATGCCCGCAACCAAGGTACATGCTCTTGACCGGAATCGAACCCGGGACCTTTCAGTCCCCAAGCCGACGCTCTATCCATTGAGCCAAACCGGTCCCGGCAGCTGGGTGCTTTAGGGTTAGGAGAAGAGATGGCCTGAGAGACTAACCAGTCCTGGTATTTTCTTCAAAAGCTTTCAGAGGTTGCCCTGAGATGCGGGCACTGCAGGGGTATTACTATGTATGAGATCAGCTCTGCTCTGAGGGAGATGTTGAAATAAGTGGCTACCACTTGAGAGGGGTGCACAGGGAGGGGGCAGTTGGCCCACCGATGAATTTCGGGAATGACAAGATCACCTGAACTCACACTTACTCAAACTGCCAAGGCAGCACGGATGATTGGACCATCTTGCTGCATTTGGGAATTGTACCAATTCTCAAGTTACCTTATTTTGAGGCGCGTGAGTGTCCTCATGACACGATGCTGGCCTCCCAGCGCGAGTGAGCCCACGCTGGAGAGAGCCGGGACACGGCCACGGTGTCTCTTCAGTCCTCAGTCTTGGAAACGGTGTACCCTCCCTTCTCCCTCATTCTGCTCATCAGAAGTGAGTCGCCAAGTCAGACCACCCTCCAAGGGAGAGGAATTTAGCTGCCTCCCTCCTTCCCTGCCTCCCTCTCTCTTTCTCTCTCTCTCTCTCAAGTATTTTATTGATTTTTTACAGAGAGGAAGGGAGAGGAATAGAGAGTTAGAAACATCAGTAAGAGAGAAACATCGACCAGCTGCCTCCTGCATACCTCCTGCTGGGGATGTGCCTGCAACCCAGGTACATGCCCTTGACTGGAATCAAACCTGGGACCTTTCAGTTCGCAGGCCGACGCTCTATCCACCGAGCCAAACCGGTTATTAGGGCTCAGCTGCATTTCTTGAAGGGAGAAATAGCAAAGCATGTGTGGACATATTTGAACATGACCATATCGAGGACATGAATGAATTGGAACTTGACGTAGAGGAAGACGAGGGGTTATAGAAAAGTTCTAAAGATTGCTTGAAAACCACTTTAAAGACTAAGATGTCCACCTAACAATTCCAAAAGGACTCAGTGAAGCAACATTGGAAAAAAAAAAAAAAAAGAAGGAATGGCTACTTCATGAGCTGATGCAAGGAACAAGTGATGCTTCATGTTGCCGCGTACACACTGGCAGTCCCTTTTCTGACGCTCTGAACGGGCACCTACCCCACTCTGTAACACCAGGTTCTTCAGAAAGTCCCTGTTCACTCCTCAGGCTCCTCTCACAGTTGCATCCCATGAATGTTATCCCCATTGCATCGGCAGTGGGTTTGGAGAATTGCCACTGTTCAGTCATAGGTCTTGCCTTGCGTTACCTGCTTAAAAAGGTGTTAATTCTTTTTTTCTTTTAATTTTAATTTTTTTATTAAGGTATTATGTGTATACATATCTTACCAATTCCCTCCCTCCCCTCCCATACATGCCCTCCCTCCCCAGAGTTTTGCGTCCATTGGTTATGCTCAGATGCATGCATACAAGTCCTTCGGTTGATCTCTTATCTCCCTCAGGTCTCCCTATCTTTCCCGCTGTAATTTGACAGTCTGCTT